TGGTTGCTCCTCTTTAAGACTTGCTCTTTCATGAGAGACATCAGTTGCTTCCCAAGTATTATACCAGAGGGTCTTTGTGCTTAAGATGGGTTATGCTCTTAGACAACCCTGAAAATATTAAAACGAGTTTTCCCTAGCCACTGCTCCTCCATGCCAAAGCCATTTTGTCCATCACACAGCTTCCAAGGACTCCAGCTCTTTTCCTCTCACCCAAGTCTTTGCACCCTACCCACCCTCTTTCCAATTTTTACCTCTTTTTTACACAGAGAAGTTGAGCTGTACCCCAGTTTTTGAAGCTTACCTATTCCTTACACCCTGCTCAGGGCACCAAAAATAATGTCAGCATAGAACCTCTTTAGAAGGCAGCTGGGGCAATTATAAATAGTATAGGCTTATTTTCATCGATAATGAAAATGCTTTATAAATCAATGTTATCGTGTCAGAATAAAGTGTAACCGAAGTCCTACAATGAGCATAATCTCTGTAAAATCAACCCAACACCAGAGTGTGGAGTGAAAAAGAGAGAGGTGGATAAGGGATTGGGGGCATCATAACCGCCTTAGAAGAAATAAGGGCCCGAGTTATGAGAGGATTTAGTGGAAAGCAGAAAAGTGAGAGTTGGAACTAACAGTATAGGAGGAGACATTATCATGGAAGCCAGAGGAGGAATAAAACATTCTGAAATGACCCCAGGTACAGGAGTTGTGAGGACCAGAAACCAAGAATGAAGGTTTGAATTAAGGATTAGAAAACTGGTTGTGGTCTTCAGAAAAAGTAGTGTTGAAGATAATAGAATGGGTGGTTGGAGTAAATAGAGGCAGAAGATAGAACTGACACTAAAGCTCACCACTTGACAGAAATTGGGCAAGTTATGATACATGCAAAGTATGGCCAGTTGTGAAAAATACCAATTATCTTATGTATATATGTATGTATATGTATTTAGAAAGTGGTCTCCCAAAATTTTATTAGGAATCCTATCTGAGGAAGTAATTTTTCATCTGTATTGATTCTTTTTTTCCTTCACAGTTTCAGATTTTAGAAAATATGGTAGTAAATAAGGAACTGTTTTGGGAAGCGTCAATAGGTTTGCAAGCAGGAGAATGTCCATGAAGTGGATTCAGCAGGCAGGTAAAAACCATTGAACTTTTGATAGAACAGAGTCCTGGGATAGCCAGGAAGAAGTGGATCTTTTTTTTTTTTTTAATATTTTTAAAATATGTTTTTATTTATTTATTTGACAGACAGAGATCACAAGGAGGCAGAAAGGCAAGCAGAGAGAGAGAGGAGGAGGAGGAAACAGGCTCCCTGCTGAGCACAGAGCCCAATGCAGGGCTTGAACTCAGGACCCTGGGATCATGTCCTGAGCTGAAAGCAGAGGCTTTAAGCCACTGAACCACCCAGGTGCCACCAAGAGGTGGATCTTAAAGACCAGATCAAAGAGCAGTCTTGGCTCTAATTCCTGGGTCTGAGTGCCTTGGCGGTTCTTTGTTTTAACTTTTGAAAAGGAGCCAAACTCCTGTTTTGGGATCTCCCTACAAGAAAAGGTGTAAGATCCAAGCGGGGTTGTGGGTGGAAGCCCAGAAGAAGCGGGGAGAGCATCTTGTGGGACTAAAACCTATATAGATGTGCTACAGTAGCTGTAAATATATCGGTGGTTGAATCATTGTAAGGAAAGTTGTGGTATACAGTGTTCTTTGTTGTGTAGCTGCTAGTCTGAATACTTAGGGCTTGATACTGATTTTATATGCAGAAAAATTCTATGGAGGGCAAATAGGATGTGGCCTCAAAGCTAAGTGTTTCAATAAATTGTTGAGTTTTCTATTCTCTAATTTCTTTCTTCTGTGGGTTAGCTTAATAAAATGAAGTCCGTGTGACTTAATACATATCTTGTTATCAGTATACCAAGCAAGGTCATAAATATAACTAAAAGTTAAATGAGTTTTCATACTTTAGAAATTATATTGGGATGTCAGATTGTATCATTAATTTTATGCCAGGGCTGGAAACAGTATTTTCTTGAAATTACTCTTTTTATCATTAGATGTAGTAAACTCCATAAGGCTCATATATCCATTTTCAGAACCTGTTTCAACATTTACTTAGTATTATCCCACCTTGTACTTCCAATGGATATTTCTGTTATTTCAAATGAAACACAAGCCATAAGAGTAAAGCATATCATATGGGTGAGCATCCAATATAATTTGTGGAATCTTCGAAAGATATATAATTACAAGTAACAATTACATTATCCTGAAGTTAGAGTATGGCCTTCCTACCCATTTTTTTTGAATTCAGATACAATTTGCTTGTGAATTATGCAGATTACTTATTTAAGAAACGCATGGCTTGCTAAGTTTTGTGAATATGTATGTTGTATATCCAATATCTAGTCAAGGTTAGAACATTTCTGTCACCTTCTAGAATGGGTTAACTGGGGTCTGCACACCCTACACCTGTTTCCATTCATGTCCACTTGGAGCCTCAGAGTATGACCTTGTTTGAAAATAGGGCTTTGCAAATGAAATTAAGGTAAGGATGGATAGGAGATCCTACTGGATTAAGGTGAGCCCTAAATGCAAAGACCATGTCTTTATGAGAGGCAGAAAGGACACACAGAGATACATAGAGAAGATGGAGTCATATGGGAGATACACTCCCACAAGGTAAGGAACACTTGGGGCCAGAGAGAAGGTTTCTTCCCTATGGCTATCAAAGGACACCTGGCTCTGCAGACACCTTGATTTCAGACTTCAGTCCACAGAACTTAGAAAATGAAATCCTGGTGTGTAAGCCACCACACTGTAGTAATTTGTTAAGGCAACAAATACACCTGCCAAAAATTCCTGCGTACCCCTTTCCAGTCAGTCCCAAACCCTCAGAGGCATTTAATGTTCTAATTTTGGTCACCACAGATAAGCTTCACACGTCCTCGACATCAATTAAATAGAATTATACAAAGTCTGTGTGTGTGTGTGTGTGTGTGTGTGTGTGTGTGTGTGTGTGTGTCTGGTTTCCTTTGTTCAATATAATGTCTGTAAGTTTCATTCCTTTTCATGTATGTGCCAGTAGTTTAATTCTTTTATCATTAAAATACACCATAATTTATCCATTCTCCTAGTCAAAGACATTTGGATGTTTATCTCCTACTCCTATTTTATACGTTTACTACATCTGTGGTTGTCATGGGTTTAGAAGTGATACATTACTGTTTCTGTGGTTGTTACCAAGAATTTTAACAAGTACATGTAACTTAAGGAAGTTTCATCTATATTGGTCTTCCTCACTCAAAATGTAGAAACTTTGAATTCTTTGCCTTTGTTTTCCCTCCTTGAGTCTTCCATGTTACTGCTCTTAAATATAAAATATGTATTATTTTTAAATTTTGGAAATTGATTCTTCTTAAAAACTGATAACTTTTCATAGGCATACCAACATATTTCTCATATTTGATCACTGTTGCTTATTACATTCTACTTCTTTGAGTTCCATTTTATTTTCCCTGATATATGCAGTTTATTCTTTTGGTGAATGATTAATAATTTCCTTGCCTTTATTTTGGCTGGAAATATCTTTATTTTGCCCTCTTTCTTTAACTATCATTTAGTTACTTGTCGAATTATAGTTTGATAATTTTCCCTTAACAGGTTGCAGGTAATATTCCTCCATCTGACAGACATTATTTCTGATGAGATGTCTGCTAGAGATAAAAATTCCTTTCTAGGTGATCTGTTTCTCTCTGGTTTGTCTTCATTCTTTAGTACAAATATGCTGTGTTCAGATGCAGACTTGTTTTTACTGATCTACTCAGATGTCTGAAATTTTCATCTAAAGAATTCATCTCTTTCTGATTAGATCTCTATTATATCTCTATTATATCTCTTCTGATATGATCTCTGGATATTATGTCTTATGTCTTACTCATGCTATTTTTTTTTTTACTCTGTAGCACTTAATAATCATGTATTAAAACTTTTTCATTTTTTTTACATGCTTCTTACCTTTTCCACATTTTCATCTTTATTGTGTTTGTTGTTACAGTTATTTAAACCTGTTTTCTAGTTAAATACCTTTCTTCTATTCAATTGTTCATAGATTTTTTTTTCAGTTTTGGAATTTTCATTTCTTTCTAATTGCACAGTCATTAGGTGATACTGCCCCTCTTCCCTTGTGATTTCTAGTCCTTACTTTATCTCTTTTAAGTATTCTGAAGATAATCTCTTTTAAGACTCTTTCAGATTGTTCTATTATTTCTGACTCTTTAGGTGTGAGATCTGTCTCTCTAAGGCTGGTGATTCTTCCTCATGGAGGTTTGCTTGTCCCTGTGATTGGTTCATTTTGATGTGAAGGTGGCTTTCCATGTAAGTTCCACGTCTCAAGATTGTAGAACATTTCTTTAGGGTAGTTTCATATTATTTTCTTTGTGGGTTTTCATGGATTGATGTTTTTATGTTAGAATCTTGATTTAATGATTTGATTCTACACTGATACTTTGAACTTGGATCTCATACTTGGATGTATTGCAAATTTGGGTTTCTTGTGTCTCATGGATTATAATTTCTCTCTGCCTGCTCATCCACCCTATGCTCCTAATCTGTGGTTGAAATCTTCATCTCTGGTAAATTGGGGTGGGGGCTTCTAGTACTCATTTCATGGGCCAACAGCCCTCACAACTCCAGTCTCCATGAAGAGACCCAAGAGTCTGGTGTTCATATGCATATTTCTTGGTCTGGATTTAAGACCCTGCCATGCCGTCTGCCTCGATCTGGTGTAACATCTCTGTGAGCCATTCAGTTTCAGCTCGAACTCTGACTTTCCTCTTTGTTTCTAAGTTTGGTTGTGTATTAACTTTTTTGCGGGGTGGAGTGGGGGAATATTTAGCATTTCTATGCGATTTGAATAGGACAAGAGACACTTGTTTTCTCATCATGTTATATTGACCTGACATCTTGATCATACTCCTATTTGAACATGTGTTTTGTGTTTTTCTCTTACAGCTAGTTATGTATCAAATCCCATTTGCAAGGGTTGTTTGTCTTGTTCAAAGGACAATGGGTGCAGCCGATGTCAACAGAAGTTGTTCTTCTTTCTTCGGAGAGAAGGCATGCGCCAGTATGGAGAGTGCCTGCATTCCTGTCCATCCGGGTACTATGGACACCGAGCCCCAGATATGAACAGATGTGCAAGTGAGCAGTTGATTTTTGTCTATTATTTACTGTTTATGCAACTTAGGGGAACTAAGTTTCAAATTTTGAGTGGAAAAAAAGTTGTTTTTTTTTTTATATATGCTACAGAAATAGTCTAATCTTAAACTTCAGTGGGGTAGGATAAGAACATATTTACCTTTTGTCTAGAAGTATATTGCTCCCACACTTTTAGGGGGCACCTGGGTGGCTCAGTGGGTTAAGCCTCTCCCTTTGGTTTGGGTCATGATCTCAGGGTCTTGGGACTGAGCCCTGCATCGGGCTCTCTGCTCAGCAGGGAGCCTTGCTTCCCCCCTCTCTCTGCCTGCCTCTCTGCCTACTTGTGATCTCTCTTTGTCAAATAAATAAATAAAATCTTTAAAAAAAAGTATATTGCACACACATTTTTAAAAATATTCTTTAAGTGTTTTTCACATAACAAGCATCTCAAACACAAGCTTGTTAGCAGACCTTTGTAAAGCATACGTAGCAGCCCCCCCAAAAAAAATCCCCAAGGAATTTAAATATCCTTATATTGGGAACATTCTCGCTACTTCACTACAGAGTCTGTGGCCTCTTTTGTCTTATGTATTTTTTTTTTAAATCTGAGTTTGTAATCCCTTGTTTAGTTTAATCTAGAATTTCATACATTCAGGGTTCTGTAAAGCACCATTACTAATAAAAGATGTAACTAAAATATTTAGTTTACCTTAGAGTATTTGGAATTCTAAGTTTAACAACTACAAAAAGTTATTAAGGAATAGCATTCTGTTCATAGGCATGCAGGGATGATTTTTATCTTTTAATCTAAAAAATCACTTCTAGAATTATTCTCAACTTGTAGGTTAACAGTCGTAATTAGAGTTTTAAAAAAAGTGAGATGCCATAGAAACATCCCTTTCTTTAAGGAGCTTAAATGTTAGGGCTTAGAGGGGATAAGGAAAAAAAAAATTGACATGGAGTGAAATGACGAATGGGTAAGAAGTTTAACCTTAATTCAGTACACTAGGCTATGTCAGGAGGCAAGCAGTGTGTTATGGAAGTAAGTTAATCATCTCCCATTACTACTGTGTACATGGTAATGAAATCACCCAAAGTCTTTAGATAAGAAGAGAGTTTGAATGGAATCATCCAAAGACAATATTATTTTGGAAGGAGGTAGAACGAACAGATTCTAGAAAGAAGGAACCACACATATCTAAAAATACTGTGCTTGGGAGCAAGAAGTCTCATCTAGGCGCTAATGGTATTTTGACAAGACAATTTAATCTACGTTGTTGAACACTTAGGGTCCTCAGTCCCTGCCTATGAAATGTCCTTTGTGCCCACAAGTCACTGAGACAAGTAAAAGTGTCTTCAAACATTTTCGAACACCTCCTAGAGGAGAAATACTATCCTTGGATGAGAACCATTGAGTCGTGTGTGCTTAGTAAGAGGGGTGGTTGGAACTGAGAACTGAGAAGTCTTGACTGCTTGGCCAGGGAGTCTGGATAAGACCTACAGGTTTTGAGCAGGAGAGGACTGCAGAGGTTGCTTTGTTCAGGATGATTGTAGCAGCAGTGGGGGAGGTGAATTGGAGAAGGATAGGAAAGGAAAGAGAGGAAGGCTCCTATAATAATGGCAGGTTAGAAATCGTGTTCTGATGAAAGGTTTGTGGGTAATGAATTCCAGAGCTTTAAATAATAGTATCGGTGGGTCTTAGTAACTAGTTTCAGAGAGTGAAAAGAGAGCATCAGCTTTGATCCTAAGGTTTCAAGGTGAATAGTAGTTTTGCCATCAGCAGAGATAGAAATAGATAGGCTCAGAGGAAATTCAGATCTACTTGTCCTCATGGAATTGCTTGGATTAATAATTACAGAGACAGAACTCCCAACATGTATCAACAGGCTGGCTAATTTTTGCAAATACATACCTTATCCTTAAGTTGTGTGATTTGGGAGCTATCTAGGAAAGTGTCTCCCATAATTTTTTAACTTTCTTATTTTTTTTTAATTAAAAAAATTTTTTTTAACTTTCGTGGAAGGGTAGGTCTACCTTGAAATGGATTTCTATTCAGATTGCTTTAGACCACCTGGTTGAGGGGGGTGTGTTAAGGGATCTGAGTCCGTGACTCTTTGGTGCATTTTTTATTCCACACTATCTGTGCACAAGAAAGAGGAGGTTAGAGTGCAGATGGCTCCAGGCAGTTATTCCAAGTTCTAAGCCTAGCATTATACATCCTGTGTATGGATGGTAGGCTGACTATATCATGCATTGCTCAACCCTAGGATGTTGATGAATCAAAGGGTTGGCTATTAATAACTATTCAGGGACACTGGTGTAAACTGCGACTGTCCCAGGCAAACTGGTATGGGTAGTTGCCTCCACATTACTGCATAGTGTCTTTGGAGATCTGTCCAGGCAAGAATTCACAGACCCATCTTTGGCTAAGTTTACCCATTTTCTTAGAAAGGAGAGCAGTGACTGTAAATCAGCCTTGAAAAGTGACTTTACAAGTGAGAGTGAATGGGTTTGCTCTGGTTATACTTACTGTAAGTGAACACAATCAATGTTGGCAGTTTACTGACCTAGAGGAAATCACGACTTCTCCGGTACAAGCAGGAACGGCTTATTAACAAGACTCCTGTGAATCAAAGTGAAAGTGGAAAATTATTTAATTCTCAGTATGACTTTGGATGGCTGTGGTTCTTTCATACAAATGATTTGCTTCCCCCCACCCCCCGTACTTTGTATATATTCCATTGTTTGTATTCTATTCAGAGGCAAGGAGGCAGAATTAAATTGGAAAAGCTCTCACAGACTTGGAAATTGAAATCCTACTCACTTTCTTAAGAGATTCTTGTTCCATTGTAGAGAAGAAAATTATACCTCAAGCAACAGTAGCTTGACAAAAATTCCTAGAAATGAAATTTGCTCATCTGTTTTCTAATCGTTGGAGTAATATTTCAGTTGCAAAACAACATCTTTCTTCTGAAGGAAGACTTGCTCTAGGAAGTGGCTAGGTTTGGCTTCTTAGTGCACATAGTGTGGAGCTTAAAAATCAGACAGGCTTGTGAAAACCAATTCACTAGCCATTTGAAGCATATTATGAAAAATACATACATGAAAAACAGTAAGAGCCGCCATAGTCTCTGATTCTGTTAGGTGATATTTCTCTCATATTTTTTCCTCATTTATTAACAAACTCATTTACATCATTTACATGAAAAAGCTTTATTCCTTTGTTATAAATATTCCATGTAGAAAACTTGGCACATAGACCTTAAAAGCCAAAGGCAAAAATAAAAAAAACACTCAAAGATTACAAAGGTTAACATTTTGGCTTCTATTCCCAACCATTTGTTTCTATATGTATTTATGTCTTTCTCCCCTTACAAATGTATCATTGTTCTGTTTTGTGACTTGCTTTAACTTACTGGATTATGAACATTTTGTTAATGTCATTAAATATGGCTGTACATATCCTACTGAATGGATATATCCTAATACATTTAATTACCCATTACAATTTTTCTTTAGTTTTCCACTAATATAAGCAGTCATATGAAGAATATCCTCATACAGTCCCTCTCACATACACACATGTAGTTTTATACAGTTGTCTGATTTATTTGCATAATAGGCAAAGCTTTAAACGCATTACATTTTCCAGCTTTTCTGAGATAGGTTGACACGTAACCATAATACATATTTTGTAAACTTTGGATATATATGTTGTTAAGTGGCCTTGTAGAAAGTTGTAACAGGTCGCATCTTAACTAGTACACCTTTTCCCTTGCATCTTACTAACAATGGGTGCTATTCACAAAAAAGTATAAAAATGCATTTTCTGTTTAATATGCTTTTCTTTGATGGGTTCATTTATTTTTCACACTAATATTTGCATGGTACAGTATTTACCATAATCGCTGGCTTTTCCCCCCTCTATTCACAAAACTGTCTCATTCTTATTGATTAAAAAAAAAAACTTTAAATGGAAAATCACAAGAACTCCATGTTCAAGATGATAAATGGAGAGTTCAGTGAATTATCACAAAGTGGACATACACTGGCAATCACTAATACAGGTCAAGAGGACTGTTAGCCCCCCAAGAACACTTGTGTTCTCCCTTTCCAGTTACTCCACTCTCTCCTCCTCCAACAAAACTACCATCTTGACTTATAACCAAAACAAATATAAAAGAATATTCCTGGGGCACCTGGGTGGCTCAGTGGGTTAAGCCTCTGCCTTCAGCACAGGTCATGATCTCAGGGTCCTGAGATCGGGCCCCGCATTGGGCTCTCTACTCAGTGGGGAGCCTGCTTCCCCTTCTCTCTCTCTGCCTGCCTCTCTGCCTACTCGTGATTTCTCTCTGTCCAATAAATAAATCTTAAAAAAAAAAGAGTATTCATGATGACATTGCCCATATCAACTATAAATTGGAAATAACCCAAATGTCCAAATAATAGAACATTGGAAAAAGCATCCTGAATTAAAAAAAAGTGGAAATGAACTACTACAACATATAGCAACATAGATAAATCTCACAATGTAATGTTGAATGAAGGAAGCCATAAAAATATATATACTTTTACATACATTATGAAAAGAATTAAAACTACTCTGTGGTACTAGATGTCAGGATTGTAGCTCTTACATGCATTTATTGAAGACCTACTATGTACTGGCTTTTGTACTTGATACCTGGAGATACAATAATGAGGAGTCATAGTTTCTGCCCTTGGGTTGTTTGTGGTATAGAGCAGGGATTCTCTGCCAGGCCTGATTTTTCCCTTGGGGGACATTGGGTAAAGTTTGCAGACATTTTTGGTTGTTAAAGCTTGAGGCTGCTACCAGTATCTAGTTGATAGAGGCTGTAAATACTACTAAACATTGTACAGTGCACAGAACAGCCCCCTGCAACCAAGAACTATCTGGCCCAAAATGTCGGTAGTCTTGAGGTTGAGAAGTCTTGCTCGAGTGAAGCAGACAGATAATTAACTCAGTGTAGTGTGTGATAAAG